CAGGAGCTCCAGGTTACAGTGAGTTATGATGATGCCACTGCACTCTAGCCAGGGTGGCAGAGTGAGACCCTGTCTCTAAAAAATTTTTTACAAAAAAAGCACTTCTGACATTCTTACATTCAATTTCAATCAAAAACAGCTAGGAAAATTAGTAACAAGTGGAAAGAAAAGTACTTACTGGAATTTTCTAAAAACATAGTGATGAATAGTTAAACCATAGAAGATTCTTTTTTTCCTCTTTCACAACGATATATTTGTGTTCTTTTTTTCTACTTTTAGAGATGAGGTCTCACTATGTTGCCCAAGCTGGTCTCGAACTCCTGGCCTGAAGCGATCCTCCCACTTCGCTGGGATCACAGGTGTGAACCAGCACACCCGTCTCTCACAATAATATATTTAACCTCACACGCATGACAATCACTGAACCCCCAGAGTTTAGACAGAAGTCTCTCTGACAGGCATCATTTTGATATTTTGGTTTTCTTCCTCAATGTTATGACACATAACAGGCATTGCCAGTCCATGAATCGTGGGTTTTTAGGTATTCAGGTAGCACAATTAACCATAAAGCAGGGTTTCCCAATCTCGGCATTATTGGCATTTGGCAACAGACAATTCATTGTTATGTGGGCTATTCTGCCCGTTTTAGGATGTTTAGCAGTGTCATTGGCCTTTACCCACGAGATGCCTTCCCCCTGGGTTGTCACAATCAAAAACATCTTTAGACATTGCCAAATTCCCCCCTGGGAGCACAGTCACCCCGCCATTGAGAGTCACTAGTATAACTCCTGGAATGACCTGCTGTCCAGGAGCTCAATGAACTCTTCACAAACTCACTTCTTCAGAACCTCGTAGTTAGCACAAAGGTGACCACAGCACACTCCAGCACACGCTTCAGCCCCATAAACCCAGGGTGCTCTTTCCTAGGCGAGATCTACTTATTACTTTAATTAGCAACTGAGCATAGAGCTCACTGACTATAAATTCTGACAGTCTCCATGCTACCCTCATTGCAGACACACCCTCCAGATGGTCAGGAAAACCACATGAAGTCCACGCAGGTTTACAGTAAAGACCTCGCTTTGTATCTTACCACTCTTGAGTCATGACAACAAACACTATGCATTGAACAGTAAAAACAGTTTCCATTATCCTCTGCCCAGGTTCTTCGGTGATCCCGGGGTTGTGTTCTAGCTGATATAACAATTGCTATAAGGGATATCTTGCCAACACCATCGTAAGCCCACAGACAGAGCCACCAACCTTGCTGCCACCAGTCACCAGAAAGGATAAGCGCAGTAAGAACTCCAATCAGCAGTAGAGGGTGGAAAGGACAGGAGTGTTAATAACCTGGCCCGGGCATGAGACCACCAGTGCCCCCTAATTATTTCAGTAGAACTCCCTGGCCATTCTCCACTCCCCAAACTCAACAGGAAAGCACCCAACAAAAGACCTGCTCTAAAACATTTGTTTCCAATCACATATGAGTTCAAATATTTAAAATTTATATTTACAATATTTTATTGTTCCTCTGCAAAATATGCATGCCAAACACAGAAGAGGCACACACTAAATAAGTAATTTTGCCTAAATTGAGAATATATGACTTTTCTAGTTAAAAGTTTTTGAAATGAAACACTCATTCCTTCAAGGGCTCTTCATTGGATTTGATGAACACACGCTATTGATATTTAACATGCCCAAAAGATTTATGTTGGACTCTTAAGATCTTAAAATCGTAATGTATAAGAACTACCTAAAAGAAGTAAATGTACTTAATCAAGAAACAAACGAACAAGAACAAAGGCTTAAGGGAAATATTTAAAAGATCATCTTATAGAGAAAGAATTTAACTTATCCTGAGACCCCAAAGGGGAAACCACATCACCAAATGTTGGAAATGACTGCA